GGAAAAGAAGTAATTTTTGTCGTTCTACAATGCTACATTCGCGGCTTCTCTGCAATAGTTTAAAACACGTGCATTGGTATATGACCTTCACTGACGTTCCAGCTGTCTGTTGTACCTTTCGTGCCAAATAATAGACTACTATATTGAGCGATTGAATAATGTTTCATAAGGTTACAATAAACTTCACCGCAACAGACTGTCTAGAGAATAATTGTCTCTGTGGTGCATCTTCACAAATTCGTTCTTTCGCAGTGAATTTTGATCCCAATCTGTAGGAGACTATTCATAAGCAATATGTAACTTCTATTTTCTCAGCCTTTTTGACATGCGAAATCTTCTGTAGCCACCCTGAGACAGTATTGCCCTGCCGACCTTCCTTTCCGCAGTGTGAGATTCTCCAGAAATGCGACACACTCACTAAATTCCCTTAGTCGTTCGATATATCTGCCACCATGGTGGTGCTTGCAGCAATTCATCTTGGTGGGCAGTCCGCTACCAACTCTTCATACCACAGGTATTCAGTCATCTTATTTTCAGGATCGTGCATATACAGATAAACAACACGGAAAATAGAAACCTATTTTTGCTTCCTTGGTCTATTTTTGTCCTCCTGCATCTTGCTCATCCTCAAATCAACCCGCTTGCCCCGATTACATGCCTGCCAAAATTGTCAGCGGTGATCCTCTCTCCGAGAGTCAATTCCAACTGTCTCTGATATTCAGTCCATCTATACATTCGGGTGGAGCATAAGGAGTATCCTTTGCAATGCAATATGCATAGTTAGTGTACTTTCTCTTTCTTATCCTCTTCAGGTACATATCAAAATAACCGTGTAGTCCTGCATCCCATATCACGTTCTATCTGACAAAAAGCACATCTTTCTTGTCGTTTCTGGCTTCGGCGCTCTTTTCATAGAGTGTGCGTCTCTCCTCAGGAAGCAAATCAATTGGCGGGATACCAGCCACCACTAAGGATATGCCGGTCGATACCGATCTGTAAGCGCAGACAACGAGCAGCACTACTTTCCTCTGGCCTCTGAGCATCGGTTGGCTATATTTATTTTCCAGCATGGCCTTGTTAGTGATAGGGTCTTCATACAGCCTAATCAAGCTGGCCACCCCTGGCAAAATCCTACGCCTCTCACTACGGGGGCTTCATCAGTTGGCACTAGCCATACCAGGGATGCAACGTCTTTATTTACCTTATCAGTGGTATGCCTTATGTGTTCAATCATTTTCAGATCTTTGTCGAGCCACACACTTAATTGCATTTCCGCTTCGAATCTCTCAGAACTTAGGATTAAGGAAGTGATGCCTAACTGACAGTACTTGCAGCATATCAATAAAAACCTATATTATTCCATGAATATTTGCTGCAGAGTGCAGACCAACATCTCAAGATCTGCAATGGCTCTTATTCTGAAATTTTGCTTTTGCTTATGAGGAATGATAATTTTCTCTCTGCATACATTTTATCTTTTACTACATATCTCATGCCAGCATTTACAATGTGTCCTCATTTTCAAAACAAGTCGAATCTGGTGTCAGGATTCAGAAAAAAATTATAAGATTAAAGTATATATATTCTTTTGAAGCTTTGAGAAAATGTACAAAGGTAGACTGGAACGATCAACGAATTCGAATAGATTAAAACGAGCCAAGCCGAAATTGCGTGGTTTTAGTCCATACTTTTGACTCGCTTATATACCAATGCCTACCAAAGTACTTACCAGTACAAACATTTACACCCATTAAGCCTTTGCCGTGTTTTGCGAATTCTGTAGGAAATACCATGTCTTGAAATCGTCTAACACCATAATTATCTCGAAACACTTGCACTTTTAAAAAGTAACACATATACGAATTTAATGACAGAATTGTTAAAAAATTAACTTATGTCAAGTGCATTTTGATCTTCAAAACATACTAGGATAATTAGGAAACAAACAAATCCTTGATCGGCTACTTCTACCTAATCTTAATTCGTTGGGAAGGATGTAATAAATATTATTGCGCATCAAGCAAACACCACGTATTGGAAGGAAACATCTTTTTCAAAGACCTGTTTTATTCACAATATCAGATTCAATGACGATATAATACAGACCTCTGTAAGTAGCTCTCGAAACAGAAACAAAAGCTGTAAGTAGAATTCTTCTTTGTCATCTAAATATCAACACTCCACTTTGAGATCAGTGTTGTTCCCTCTCGTATTAACTCAAGAAGGTCTCTCCACATGCACAAAAGCCGGATCCATAATTGAATCCTTTCAAATGGAATCGGATACAATCTCGCTCTTTCAACGATGCTGCCGGAGTGTATTTTATTGCTCCTAACAGGCGTTAAATATCGAGATTAAACTCAAGAATGAGTAGTCGTTTTCAATTGTTCGGTCCCTTCGGGCCCATTAAAAACCACGAATAGTTCGTTGTCATGCGAATTCTATCGCTACCGGTGTTAAATGTCTTTTGTGGGAATGGACTGTCCACAGGGTTCGATACGCGAACGACGGTTATTAAAAACAGATGGGATCTTTTGTATAATGATTTGGTGTAACTTCTGACGATTGCCGAAATTCATGTTAGGATGAGAAGGCTGACAGAGAGGCTGCTCAAGCTTATTTAAATGCTATTGGAACTGTCCGTCTGCCAAATCTGATACCATGTATACTAAGTGACATATAAATCCGAACACCCAGTTTAAATGGCTTTATTTTAATAAAAGTAGGTGAATGTATTTATCTTACTGTAAATAACACGTGAAAAAATGTTCAGCCTTATCAGTTGGACATTCCTGTTTTTATACTGCTTTTTTTTAATTCACTAACGCTCTAAAAATGAATATTTCAGCCGCAGTAAAGAATCAACGTTGGCGGATTTTGGTTCTTGACATCCTTTACGATCGGTTACGATGCCTAGAGTACGGAGACCTGTACGCTTTCGTCAACTTAGTGAGTTTGATAGGTGCCGTATAGAGGGACTTCGGGAAGCTGGACTTTCTTTTCGGGCAATTGCAGTTAGAGTGCAAAGAAGTGTAGACACTGTGGTTAGGTGTTGTCAGGCATGGCTTCGAGAAGGCCGTACGCAAAGAGCAAGGGGCACTGGACGCCGCCGTAGAACAACAGACCGTGAAGATCGCCGCCTAAGATTATTGGCCTTAAGGGACCGTTTCTCCACTACCAGGTCCATTGCAAATGAATGGTTTGCAGAACACGGAAGACCTATTGGCATGCGAAGTGTTTACCGACGAATGAGAAGTTTTGGCTTGTTTTCATAGGGGCCACACTGGGTCCTCCCTTTAACTCGAGAACACCGACGTAATCGCCTTGAGTGGTGCAGACAACGGTCACTCTGGGATCAGGAATGGAACAGTATTGTCTTTAGTGACGAGTCTCGATTTTGTTTAGGCATGCACGATGCTCGTGCCAGGGTTAGAAGGCGACGTGGTGAAAGGAGGAATCCACAGTTTTTTGTTGAACGACATGTTCATCACACTGTTGGAGTTATGGTTTGGGGTGCTATAGCTTATGGTTCCAGGTCACCTTTAATCTTCATCAGAGGTAACATGAACGCGCAGCGTTATATCCACGAAGTTCTAGAACCCCATCTTTTACCCTATCTTGACACCCTGGCGGATCCAACTTTCCAACAAGAGAATGTCCGACCACATGTTGCAAGAGTCACAATAGACTTTTTTCAACATAATGATGTCACATTGTTACCATGGCCACCAAGATCTCCCGACTTATCCCCAATTGAGCACGTGTGGGATATGATTGGTAGGAGATTGCTCAATTTGTAACGTCCTCCTCAGACTCTAGAAGCACTTCGAGAGGAGTTGGTGGTTGCCTGGAATGAGATACCACAGGAGGACATTGACCATCTGATCAGAAGCATGCCTAGGCGCGTTGGAGAATGCGTAGCACATCAGCACACATTATTAAAGGTCAAAGGACTTTAAAGCAGTGCAATCATTTTGAAATTTTTATCATTTACTTATTATGCTTCATTAAGTGCTTATACAAAATTTTATTAAAATAAAACCATTTAAACTGGGTGTTCGGATTTATATGTCACTTAGTATACATTGTATGATGTTTGCTTACTTTCTGTCCAGGCCTAGGACTACTGAAGGCACACGTTCATCAGGTAACTAAAGTGAACAAAAGCGGTAAAAATGATTGCAGTTTGCTATTTTTAGCACATATAGAGCTATAGCGCTAGAAAAGGTTGCCACACCCAGGGCCATCGGGAGGAACTCTGGGCTTGGGGGGGATTTTCGAATGTGGGCTCTTTTTTGACTTCATTACAATTCAGCAAACTTTTTGAGTCTAATCTTTTTGTATCATCAGAAAAGCGCTGCTTAAGTTTGCAAAAAAGTAACTATCATTAGTACTATATTACTAAAAATATTCACGGTGACCCATGTCATTGAATGGTATATCACTATCTCATGTCAAGTCATTACACATTATCAGTACACTCAGGGCTGTCTTAAGGTATGTATTGACCACCGAGGCACACAGGGAGCTCGGGGCCTGCGGCTTACGCGGCCCCAGGCCAGAACGAAATCTGAGACCCTACTTTGTTGTAGGGGAAAACTATTCACTTATTCGGGTGATTTATCGTTCCTCTCAATTTCTGCACCAAAATTTTTCTAACTAAATTTTCTTGTACCATCAAAAATCATTACAATTTCACTGAAAATTTACATTCGACTTGTGATGAGATTTGCGTTTCATTAAGTAATTTCTGAGTTACATTCAACCCCCAGAATTTCTAAACATTTAATTTTTCTTATATCGTTTATCCAAGATCTGAATACATGTGTTTGAGTGGAGGGCCTCTTTTGAGAATTTTTGAAAATCCGAGTCCGATACCTTCCCCCCCCCTCTCGTCGGATCTGGATACACGGCACGTTTCCCTGATTTAGTGGCCATGAGATACGTCAAAGTAGAGTTGATCGAGTTGTTCTATTTATTATAGCATGAAATACATACTCACCGATTTAACTGATTTCTTTCTTCAGACTGGGCAAACCTCGGTACTGGTAAATAAGACCTAAAAACAAACCATTCTCCATTCTTTTGCACAAATACTCGATAAACTATACTTGCAGTATGCGTAGATCATTTTAGGAGATATAAGTCAATTAAAATTATTATAAATCTATCTTGAAGGGATGCTTGCTGTTTTCTCTCAGCTACCGGTATTAGACAACCTTTGTGTGAATGAATTAGAGTTGAATTGGTTGTGTGGTGTCCCTGCGGTATAATTTTAGGACTTGGTGAGCAGGTAAACGACTTTTTTAAAATATAATTAAAATGAAACCATTATATCAGATGGATTCTTTTATGTAGAGACACGGACTAATTTTTCAATGAAGTATCGACTGATATAAAGAATTAGATACACAGTTGGATGCTTTTGTATAAAATTTTCCATAGATAATTGAGAGAAGAAGACTGGTGCTTCACCAAAATACTATGTAAGTATCTTTTTGTGCAACAAATCAGAATTGAAAATGCTGGCATGAGATATGTAGTAAAAGATAAAATGTATGCAGAGAGAAAATTATCAGTACCTATCAAGTTTCCTCATAAGCAAAAGCAAAATTTCATAATAAGAGGCATTGCAGATGTTGAGATGTTGGTCTGCACTGCAGCAAATCTTCATGGAATAATATAGGTTTTTATTGATGTGCTACAAGTACTGTCCTTAATCCTAAGTTCTGAGAGATTCGAAGCGGAAATGCAATTAAGTGTGTGACTCGACAAAGATCTGAAAATAATTGAACACATAAGGAATACCACTGATAAGGTAAATAAAGACGTTTCATCCCTGATATGGCTAGTGCCAACTGATGAAGCCCCGTAGTGAGAGGCGTAGGATTTTGCCAGGGGTAGCCAGCTTGATTAGGCTGTATGAAGACCCTATCACTAACAAGGCAATGCTGGAAAATAAATATAGCCAACTGATGCTTGGAGGCCAGAGAAAAGTAGTGCTGTGCGTTGTCTGCGCTTACAGAATGGTATCGACCGGCATATTCTTAGTGGTGGCTGGTATCCCGCCAATTGATTTACTGCCTGAGGAGAGATGCACACTCTATGAAAAGAGCGCCGAAGTCAGAAACGACAAAAGAGATGTGCTTTTTGTCAGATAGAACGTGATATGGGATGCAGGACGACACGGTTATTTTGATATGTACCTGTAGAGGGTAGGAAAGAGAAAGTACGCTAACTACGCATATTGCATTGCAAAGGATACTTCTTATGGTCCACTCGAATGTATAGATGGACTGAACATCAAAGACAGCTGGAATTGACTCTCGGTGAGAGGATCACCGCTGATCACGCAGGCATGTAATCGGGGCAAGCGGGTCGATATGATGATGAGCAAGATGCAGGAGGACAAAAATAGACCAAGGAAGCAAAAATGGGTTTCTATTTTCCGTATTGTTTATATATATATATATATGCACGATCCTGAAAATAAGGTTACTGAATACCTGTGGTATGAAGAGTTGGTAGCAACTGCCCACCAAGATGAATTGCTACAAGCACCACCATGGTGGGAGATATATCGAACGACTAAGGGAATTTAGTGAGTGTGTCGCATTTCTGGAGAATCTCACACTGCGGAAAGGAAAGTCGACAGGGCAATACTGTCGAGCTTTTCTGTCTCAGGGTGGCTACAGAAGATATCGCATGTCAAAAAGGCTGAGAAAAATAGAAGTTACATAGTGCTTATGAATAGTCTCCTATAGATTGGGATCAAAGTTCACTGCGAAAGAACGAGTTTGTGAAGATGCACCATAGAGACAATTATTCTCAGTCTGTTGAGGTGAAGTTTATTGTAACCTTAAGAAACATTCTTCAATCGCTCAATATAGTAGTCTATTATTTGGCACGAAAGGTATAACAAACAGCTGGAACGTCAGTGAAGGTCATATACCATGGACGTATTTTAAGTTATTGCAGAGAAGCCGCGAATGTAGCATTGTAGAACAAAAAAAATTACTTGTTTTCCCAGTAGATCAGACAATTTGATCTACCGATTAATACTCCAGGATTTTTTATTTTTATTTTGTCGAAATCGATTTATGACATTAGGTAAACCGTCTCTGCAAGGTACATCATTAAACACCATGAGAATTATAACCCAAAATCGAAAGATTACAACTGCCATCTTAGAACCACTGATTCTAATACTAGCAGATGAGTAGATGCGCTTGGACGCACACAGTCTATCAATCAGACCAGCGTTAAATGCCTGGCATACCTGGGATGCCACACATGATGTTATTCGAAAAACGGGTTATTTAGCTTTGGCGCAAGTCTTTGTGGTCGCGGTATTTCGATATGCTGTTTTTGTCGCGCCCGAAAGCGAAAAACCCTTCTCCTTGACCAATCAAATCTTCGTAATACTGACAATCGAATTCGCGTTTGCCGTCTTGTTCTCTGCAGTTGATGCTTTCGTATCGGTAAATTCAGAATCAAGAACAGAGTCGGAATCGCCCTTAAATATTCTTTAGTTATTTTTTATAGACACCTTTCTGTTTATCAATTATTGGATGGTATGCTATTCTTTCAATTATTTAGCTTTCATTGGGTGGAATGAATATAGACACTGCAGACTTAAGTCAAGAGACTTGGCGAACAAACCAGTTCATAAGCTGGTTATCAAAAATACCTATGGGAACCGCGTAACATCTAAAGCTCATTACAGGTGTTACACCATGATAGAAATTTGGGTCTTACATTTTCCTAATACTCATAGTTCATGGAAAGAAGTGAATGTGGTGTTTTGTAGGACTTTACAAGACAGTGTGTTGAAAAACATGTAGCACGGTTTTTGCACCGTATCAATGTTAATTTTTAATACTACGTATAGAATTTTGAAGCAGCTTAATGTTCTAGATGAAAGAGTGCGTTGTCGTTCTATCCACATATATTTAGCAATAATTATGATAAACTTATTTTCTAGCAGTTCAGTGATATAACCTTCTGGATATCGCAAAAAATTTTCTGGGATTCTACAGGGTGTAAGAAGTGGTTGAAGGAGACGAATGCTTTTCATGCTATTCAACAATGCTATATCTAGAGTCCCATAGCTTTGTACAAACCACACGTAGAACACGAATTGGTAGACATTTGTTTAGTATTTTATTTTCCGGTAAAGCTCTATGACAGTTCTTAATTTTTCAATAAACAAATAGGAAATGAACATGTTTGAGTTGGACCTTAATGATGTGTCAAAAGTTGAAATTTGTAACTGCAGAGTGTTTCACTGTGTTTTCTTTACTTTTGCGTTGATTTATTAGAGTAATATGGAGTCTCAGAATGGTGTCTTCTGTTATCAAATACATTTTTTCGCAGATGTTTGGCAAATATTTAATTATATCCGTGAACTGTTGACACTGCAGTATTTGGTGGCATCCTACTTATATTTAGCGTTATCAGTTGTATCTCTGTACTTGGTTGAAGTCAGTAAGGCTGTCAGGTGCAGTTGCCAACCTACCCCTTAGTGTGAACGTTTGTCGAGTAAGCTCAACATCATATGTTGTTTAGTAGTGTGTCTCTGTCTCCGAAACTTCGTCGTAACGTATAAGTGGACTTCAATCATATTTGTCATAGTGACAATTTACTTGACATCGGTCTGCAATTCGAGTTATCCTCTTATCAATCTTCAATATAAAATAGTACAATGCTCGGAAATACGATCAATGGGGAAGGCCGACAGCTCGTGCTAAATTTACTACAGTATTTCCAGGAAGAGAATGAAAACGGCGGTCCCCTGTTACCCACTTCATGCGTACTGGAGAGAGTAGCAGATGCGCTGAAGATTAGTCTGCTCAATGTTCTGCCCATGTTATGGAGACTCGATCTGTTCACTTATTTCATATGGCGTTGATGCTGTAAGCGCCAAGAACGATGACTACAACTACAGGTATATCACAGAAATCTTTATTCATATTAATGGTTTTTTACATGTAGACATAGATTAAATAGGACCTGCTTCCTTTCCCATCTCTGAGACCATAACCGACCGTACACAATGATGCTTCGTGCATTTAAACAATCAACAGAACGGTATAGGTCTAGCCATTGGAGAAAGACAATGTAAAGGAAACGGTGTACTGAAAAACTCCTCTTCAAGCACGACATCTTAGATGTTTTGTAATTCGTCAAAATATTCCATGTATGAAGCATGGATAACATATATCACACAAACAATTATGCGTAAAAAAATAGCTGTCATGGGTCTCCCAACATCGCGAGAACGGAGTATTGCTCCTAAACAAAAGCTATTCAAAGAACACTATTTATGGATTACTTTATTATATGGTATCTGGCAGCATATTTATACTCGTAGAACATTCAAAATTGTACATGGTGTCCCAATTTTTCCACACAAATCAGAGCTGATTTGGCTTAGGTGAAATGCCCTAAATTTTATTACCCCTTCGGATAGGACCTCATAAAGAACAAGATTGACATGACATACATGTGAGTTATTGAATTAATGGGCATTTCATATTAAAAGACATCAAAGTTTCACAGCTTGCCAAGTTAATTGAACAACATAATACTTTGGTACTGTCGAATTCCCATCTTAATAAGCTTTTTGTAATATAAGGTTGTTATCAGTTTCTCCAAACGGTTTCTGCGTTATAGATATACAGTACCGAGCAAAAGTAGAGAAACAAACCACATTACAAATAAAAATCCATAAAGATTTACTCTAACTCAAAACTGTACACTAAAGTTTTTTATGTATGACTTCCTCAAGATAATGAAATGCTTGTCTTTGTATACATTCTTTTTTTTTTCAATATAATATGGTCGGTTTTTTGTTCAACGAGCAAAAGTAGAGAAACATTTTGTAAATATACTAAGTGACATATAAATCCGAACACCCAGTTTAAATGGTTTTATTTTAATAAAATTTTGTATAAGTACTTAATGAAGCATAATAAGTAAATGATAAAAATTTCAAAATGATTGCACTGCTTTAAAGCCCTTTGACCTTTAATAATGTGTGGATGCACTCTGATGTGCTACGCATTCTCCAACGCGCCTAGGCATGCTTCTGATCAGGTGGTCAATGTCCTCCTGTGGTATCTCATTCCAGGCAACCACCAACTCCTCTCGAAGTGCTTCTAGAGTCTGAGGAGGACGTTGCAAATTGAGCAATCTCCTACCCATAATATCCCACACGTGCTCAATTGGGGATAAGTTGGGAGATCTTGGTGGCCATGGTAACAATGTGGCATCATTATGTTGAAAGAAGTCTATTGTGACTCTTGCAACATGTGGTCGGGCATTATCTTGTTGGAAACTTGGATCTGCCAGGGTGTCAAGATAGGGTAAAAGATGGGGTTCTAGAACTTCGTGGACATAACGCTGCGCGTTCATGTTACCTCTGATGAAGATTAAAGGTGACCTGGAACCATAAGCTATACCACTCCAAACCATAACTCCAACAGTGTGATGAACATGTCTTTCAACAAAAAACTGTGGATTCCTCCCTTCACCACGTCACCTTCTAACCCTGGCACGATCATCGTGCATGCCTAAACAAAATCGAGACTCGTCACTAAAGACAATACTGTTCCATTCCTGATCCCAGAGTGGCCGTTGTCTGCACCACTCAAGGCGATTACGTCGGTGTTCTCGAGTTAAAGGGAGGACCCAGTGTGGCCGGTATGAAAACAAGCCAAAACTTCTCATTCGTCGGTAAACACTTCGCATGCCAATAGGTATTCCGTGTTCTACAAACCATTCATTTGCAATGGACCTGGTAGTGGAGAAACGGTCCCTTAAGGCCAATAGTCTTAGGCGGCGATCTTCACGGTCTGTTGTTCTACGGCGGCGTCCAGTGCCCCTTGCGTACGGCCTTCTCGAAGCCATGCCTGACAACACCTAACCACAGTGTCTACACTTCTTTGCACTTTAACTGCAATTGCCCGAAAATAAAGTCCAGCTTCCCGAAGTCCCACTATACGGCCCCTATCGTACAGGTTGACGAAATCGTACAGGTCTCCGTACTCTAGGCAACGTAACCGATCGTAAAGGATGTCAAGAACGAAAATCCGCCAACGTTGATTCTTTACTGCGGCTGAAATATTCATTTTTAGAGCGTTAGTGAATTAAAAAAAAGCAGTATAAAAACCGGAATGTCCAACTGATAAGGCTGAAGATTTTTTCACTTGTTATTTACAGTAAGATAAATACATTCACCAACTTTTATTAAAATAAAACCATTTAAACTGGGTGTTCGGATTTATATGTCACTTACTATATTTAGTTTATATTTAGTCGTTGATTAGTATAGGTGTTATTTTTGAGTGTATTTGGTAAAGTGTAGTTCAAAAATATGGCCAGAGTAATTACATTGAATTTGCAAATAAAAGAATTGATTATTTTAAAATATCGCCCAGGCATTAAACAAGCATCCATATCCCAACAGCTGAATTTAAGCCGATCGGTAATTTGCAAAACTATTAAGCTGTTCCGCCTCAGAAAATCGTTGGTAGACCGCGAAAAACCACACCTAGGATTGATAGGAAAATTAAAACACTTGCTCTAAAAAATCAGTTCACTACTGCTGTCGACATAAAAGCTTAACTTGAAGAAGTAAATATTGGTGTCCACACTGTTCGAAGACGTTTAAGGGAGAATGATTTACCAGCAAGGAGACCATCTAAAAAAACCTTTATTTCCAAGAAAAATCGGACCGCCCGTCTTCAGTTTGCTTACAATAATTTGAACTGGTCAGAAACAAAGTGGAATTCTGAATTATTTTCAGATGAAAGTAAATTTAATTTATTTTCATCGGATGGCATTTTATGGGTAAGACGTCCTAAAAACAAACGATTTGATCCTAAGTTCACCTTGGGTACAATCAAACACGGAGGCGGGAAGATTCAAGTATGGGGTTGCTTCTGTGGTCTTCAAATCGGACCCATCGTCAAAATTGAAGAAATTATGGACCGGTACAAATACTTAACTGATACCATGCTACCTTACGCAGAAGAAAACATGCCTCTACGCTGGCGGTTCCAGCACAACGACCCCAAGCACACAGCGAAAATAATAAAAACATTTTTTGTAGATCACAATATTAATGTCATTAAGTGGCCAGCTCAGAGTCCAGACCTTAACTCCATAGAGAATCTATTAGTTGATAAAAAAATTCGGACTGAACATCCAGAAAAGTTCAAAAATAGTGCCGAACTATTTGAAACAATCGAAGTCGCCTGGAATTCTATTCCAAGAGAAACAATAGCCTAATTGGTTCTATGAGAAAAAGATGTCTAGTAGGTTATCAAAAATGAAGGTTATGCAACCAGGTATTGTATACGACAATTGCTTTGTATATTATGTTTCTCTATTTTTGCTCGCTGTATTTTCTAATGATAATTGTTAGCATAGTTTTATTAAAGCAGAAATTTTGTTTTTATGTTGGCTTTGAATTACACCTACATGCTACATTAAGTTATAATAAAACATAAGTGTTCGGTTTACTTTAATAGTTTAATAAAATCTTTAAAAAAATAAAATGTCTCTCCACTTTTGCTCGGTATTGTAAATGTCAAGCAATTGGCTATTTCTTTATTCAAACAAGTCACATCATCCGTGGAAACAAAAAACCAGTAAAGGAAATCAACTTTGATATTTGGGTCAAAATTGGAAAACCCTGCATAATTGTGAATATTTTATATTCAGATACTATGTATAAAAAATACAAGAATAGTTTGCTTTGAATACTTTGGGCATAGGAGCAATACTCCATACTACCTTAGTAAGTATAAGAAGACAAATGTAATTGATTTTTCATTTATGAGCATCCTCTTGGTAACTCTTTTTAAAAATCACTCTCACAACTGGAAGAACGTTTGGCATGGGAACAGTGTCCACAAACTATCAAACTATAACTGCCGTTATTAATGAGTTCTTTGCAAATTTTTTGGAATGCGGTATATCCTTAAAAAAATAAATTGGGATTGAATAATTCGTTTTCGATTTCGTATTCCAGGGTTTAAACTTTTGAACTCCTTATATTAGTCATTTTGTTGATTGGTTCTTTGTTGCAAAGGAAGACCTACGTTTTGCTGCCGTTTATCCAGAAACGATTGGGTTTCCGTGAACTTGCGCTTGTGCAGTAATGTCCTGGCGGTGCGGCGTTAGTGTGGAGAAGTAATTTCCCAGGAGTTTCCCTGTTTACATAATATGTTTATGGTGTGCAACGGCCGACGATGTTTATTCGTCCGTGCCTGGACGAATGTTATTAAGGAGTGTGCAAGCAAGCAAACTGCTTGTACACCATGCAGGCTACTAGCCAGAATCTACTTATCGGAATCCAAACACACTACGAGATGCATACTGTTTGGTGTGCAATTATTGGAGGGATCATGGTGATATAGCCGAGTGCATGCTCACATGCTCTAAGACCTTTGTCTGTTGCTCTGAGATACAGATGCTGTCGTTTAAAGACATTTCGGTCGATAATTCTGCATAACTGGTTAAGAGACACATGTCTGCGACAAATCAAAGCTTAGCCACTTGTTCGCTTACCAAGCAAGTATAAAATTTATTTACGATCAACTAAGCCTAACGAAATGCTCCTATGGGTTTTGTAGGGTAAGGAGTTTAAGTTGGGCACCTAACGACCAAAAAATCTAGATTCTCAAAACAGTTGCTAGTCCTTTGCGAGATACTTAAATGGCAGACTTTTCTCAAATTTCAGTATGCACCCAGGTAAGTCATTTTTTGCACTGGATAAGAAGGTTTCTTTAGAGTTCTCGAAACATTCTGAACAAAAACGTTCTGGGTAACTTTATTCCAAAGTTGACCGGTTCCGAGTTACAAAGGGTTCAATGTCCGGAAGACCCTAATGGGCATCTGCAATGCTCGAAAACTCGGTTAATAATTATTATTTTTGAGGTTGACGTGGGAGAGAAACTGGTAACTAAAATAAATAAACCTAACACCAATATTCCATCTAAAGTAATCATACAAAATTCAGTCTTTCTTGAACCAGTTACAGAAAATGAAACACAATATACGTGTACCATTTACAGCCTAAAAAATAAAAAGAGTCCAGGTTTAGATGGAATACGATCAGATGTACTCAAAAAAATTGCACCTGAAATTAGGAAACGACTCACATTTTTAACAAATTTGATAATTTAATCTGGGATTTTTCCAGACACTAACAAAATAGGAATAATAACACCGATTCATAAATCTGGCGACATATCTAATACCAGCAACTATAGACCAATAACATTAATATCTAATTTGGTAAAGAGAGTTGAAAAAATCATAAAGGCTAGGCTAACTAGTTTTTTCAACAAAAATAAGCTTATACATGAAAATCAATTTGAATTTCAAAAAAATAAAACTACTCAAGACACTGTTGACTTCAAAAATTCATAAATTATTAGAACAAAGTAAATATACATTATGCATATTCCTAGTCCTAGCAAAAGCGTTAGAAGAAACGCTCAAAACCTTATGAGAAGTTACCTGTTCTACAGAAAGCAATATGCTCAAATAAATTATTTCATAAGTTCAGAAAAAACTGTGAATTATGATGCACCACAAGAGACAGTTTTAAGCCCGTTATTTTTTACTGTGTATATGAATAGCCTACTTAGCTTGAAGTCGCAAGGCACAATAATATGTTTTGCAGATGATACAGCGATACTTTATTCCTGGGATAATCTTGGAGAGACTGTTGAAAATGAGGTTATTTTAATTTCAGATTGGTTTATACACAAATATTTTACAATCAATATTCAGAAAACCAAGTATATGCCGTTCACAAACCTTAAAAATAAATTACCGTCACTTACCTCTTTACAAATTAAATGTGACAATACAAGTACATTAATACATTCAGCTGATAAAACAAAATATTTATGTGTTCATTTGGATCCTCATTTAAAGTGGAATTTCCATGTTGACCATATAGTAACTAATTTAAGACGATTATTATTTAAATTCAAGTACCTCACTAAATATCTAAACCATGAAACAATGAAAATGTTATACCATACACTTATTGAATGTCGCCTAAATTATGCCATACTAGCTTGGGGTAGTGCTCTCACCAACCAAATTAAGAAGCTAGAAATAATCCAAAAACAATTTTTGAAAATTATTTTTATACGGACAATTCTACGTATATCTGATATTATATTCCGAAGCGAGACTACTCGATCTTAAACAACGCTTTTTTTACAATGTTTTAGTCAATTAATTCAAAAATAAAACAAACCTCATTTTATTGGACCACAAATGTGAAACAAGAAGTAAAGTCGAGGATATTAAAAGAACACCATTTACAACAAAAAATGTAGTTCAAAGCCATATAAAATCCATTTCAAATAAAAATAGATTCAAAATTGAAATAAAAAAATTCTTGTTAAATAATAATCGACATGAAATAGAAAAACTCACTAAAATAAAAATAAATATAATATTATTACACTTACCTTTATGGTTATGTTGTGTTTAAATTTATGGATAAGCTGTATTTAACTGTTTCAAGCAAAAATTGTTATGAAAAATGTTTTCTCACGCACAACAATTAAATTGTTCTGTGGGATCATTTCAATTTATTTGCGTATATATGTATATTTATTTTCAATAAACTGTAATACTTTATACGTCAGATAACAATAGTAATGTGAATAATACGAACTTAAGTTCTCGTTGACTCGGGGATCTCTAAGATTCAAATATACGATTCTGGTCCTGCCTAAGACCTGCAATAGTGAGCAATTTAACAGGTCGTCAAGTCAACTTTTCGAACAGGTTTTCCAAGAATGGGCAGTGGTATGTGAAACGCAAATTAACAAACTTTAAGCAGTGATTACATTTTTGTTTATTTTCAACTTATGACCTTGTGTCAAATTGTCATCAAAATCCGACTGGTACTTTCCTAGTTATGGTGGGGTTAAGGATTGGCAGGCAGATCGACAGACTGAACAACGGAAATGAGTTGGTTTGTCGTGACGTACATACATATGGTAACCAAATAAGTTCGTGCGGTTTTTAGTAAAAAAATATAAATTTTTATTGAGAAACAATACTCGTAAGACACTACTCATTCGTCAAAGTAATTACCATCACATTCGATGACCTTTTGCCAACGTAGAACCAATTTTTGTATGCCGGTATTGTAGAACTCCCTGGATTTGGAGTCAAAAAATTGGCGGACTGCATTTATTGCACCATCTCGAGTTGTGAACTGTCGGTGCCTCATACAGTGGTCAAGAGACAAAAAGGGTGATAATCACTGGGCGAAATGTTGGGAGAATCTGGCGGATGCGGTAACGTTTCCCAGCCGAGTTCGGAAATTTTTTCTCGGTTCGCTTTTGCGGTATGAGGCTTGGCGTTATCCTGCAAGAATGTCACTTTCTTCTGACTGATCAAAGAAGGCTGTTTCTGGATGAGTGCCGCTTGTACTCGTTGAAGCTGCTCACAATACAAGTTAGCAGTGATGGTCTGACTCATAATGGACAATTCCAGCTGCTGTCCACCAAATACACAACAAAACCTTGTTTGGGTGCAAGGAAGCCTTGGGCGTGTGTGGTACCGAATCAGTAGGCGACAACCAATGATACGAACTTTTAGAATTCGAATACAAGATACATTTATCGTCGTAAGTTAATAACCGATTAAGAAATGGTCAATTAGCGTTGCGTGAAATGTTTGCGGAACAAATGGGAAGACGACTTAATTTGTTATCATTTGTCAGTTCATGTGGGACCCATTTGCTTATCTTCCAAGTCTTTCCTAGCTAATGAAGATGCAAACGAATAGTTTCAGGACTCACTCTGAACATTTCTGCAAGTTCTTCGCACGTTGTCCTGGAATTTGCGTCCACAACCTGTCGAAGATCCTATCGATCAACAACATCCATGGCAATGTTCGATATACAGCAACCGCACGAACTTATTTGGTTACCTGATATGTACGCACTATCAAGAAACCTCATTTTCGAAATTATTATTATGGTTACAATACTTAGTCGCCAATTTGAGAGAAAAGTATGAGTAAAAACAGTTTTGGTAGTGACTATTGTTCGCTGATCATTGAATCGCATTTCCTGTGAATTTTTCTGAAGTGGTACTGGATTACTACAGTGACCAATTTCAAGTCGAAAGGTAAACGAGTAATGAGGTAAACAATCATTCCATGAAAAGCCAGACCTTATAGAGAGATCCTGATGGAGATGGATCAGATACATAATTTGAGATACAGTTAAATTTGGAAAAATATGTATCGCCCTTAAAATGCCTGATCATGATTAATTTCATTCTTCATGGGGAAGAAATATGAAAGAGATACTGTTGATGTCATGACATTTTTCCAGGAAAATTGGCCTGCTGTAATTTTACCAAA